AACAAGTTTCAAACTTTCCTTTAACCCGGTTGGAAAGAAATTATATACTAAACCAAACTAACCAACGCAGCTTACTAAACACCACAAATCATAAAATAACAGCATGACTAAGAAAAGAAAACCAACGGTACCCAAACCGGATTAACCCAGTTTAAAACTGGATAATTTATTCTTTTGAAGACTATTATAAAGTCTAAAAAAGAAATAATGAAACACAAAAAAGTCGCAAGACAAACCCGTAACAAAAACAATTTGATTTTTGAAAAAAGGACACAACCAAGGAAACATAAGAAAGACCAACATAAACCCAACATAAAACGTTATCACATAACAGGACCTCTCAAAGAAACCGCACGAAATCATACTCCCACTCCTGGCCTAACCCACCAGAGAGGACGTCCTGAGCATGCTCTATAGCCGGCCTAACCCACCGACCGCGCTACATCCACGCTTTGTGACCACAATTCTATTTTTAATAAGAGGTACTCAAGGGTGAGTAACTCTTCAAAATAACTTAACTAAAACAAAATGCTTTTGTGAAAACAACTAACTAAATTCATGATTAAAAAATCGAACTAATTAAATTTTATAAAATGTAAATCATACCTTGCAGTATATAGATCAACACACAACAACAAGACGAACATCCAAAGACAAAATGATCCCATCACACTCGAACAAGAATGGCTAACCACAACCGATATGCCGTCCACAATCACAACTCAAAGGATTTAGAGTACGACTTGACTTCGCAGAAAAGGACTTCAATGAACTAGACCAATGACCACCTCGATGTTCAAGTATACGTACAGATCCGAGTTACGAGGCATCCCTTTCACACACAATCTCCACGCCATTCCCAGACGAGGTTGAACACAAAACAAGTTCTCTACATAATACAGAAAAACCCGTCATAGCAAACCATTTTGAAATCAGATTGATTTCATTGGGAAACACAGTCGTTGTCACAAGACGACACAACGATTGATGTCCCTAACTCCAGCGTCCTGGAACTTCTTTAACAAGAGGAACCGGACAAGAATATGATGTTCGCCAAATACCAACGTTCATCATCCATCCTTTGAATTGCAGAAAGATAATTCTAAAAAACTCTGTAAAACCCGGATGGGTGGAACATGATCTAAACTATATTTTATGATTGGATAAATTAGATATTTTACCACTGTAAAGTATTTAATAATATCCAATCATGATCCATCTAACTAACAACCCACTTATTTGTAAGTGCTGAAATTACTTGTAATTTCAGCACCAGAGAGATTTGAATTTAACTTAGAAATTAGTTGTCTCTCCAAGAGAACTTCAGCAGCCGCAACAAACCAGTATACCCTAGATCTATTGAGCCTAGCAGAGATTAGTTAAACACCCTGAGACTAGAAAGTATAAGAGTAAGATTAGGATCGGTATTAGACTAAGAAGTTGCACGAGTCTATCCGGCCGAAAATAAGATAGCGTGACGAGCAGACGGTGTACCCTATCCGAAATTACTCTATGAGTTAACCACATCGGACCTAACTCACCTGGTGCGACTAACTCTTAATCTTAAATACTTTACAGTGGTAAAATATCTAATTTATCCAATCATAAAATATAGTTTAGATCAGGTTCCAGGAGATCTTATAGATTTATTTTTTTGAATCATCAAGTCGGATATTATCTCACAACTGTAGCATGTTTTTACAAGACGCAATTGGCTAAAAATGGTAATCAAATGTCAGTAAAAAAGTTTATTGCTTTTTGAAAAAATGTAGGAATATATATGCTTGCGGTGTTTTTTTATTCAGACCGATATTTAAAAAATTGTTGCGTATGGGCTTCGATCCTGAAATCTTGGGATTGCCCAGCGAGTATGCTTGTTTATATGTATTACGGCAGAGCAATCGAAAACCACTCATAAAAGTAACAAGACTGCTCGGATATCAGGACGAAGCCCTGAAAGTTTCGACTGCCCCTTGATCATTGAAAAACTATAAATTTTGGACAATATCAAAGATCAAGAGCAAAAAATTATTACGACCGATTAGCTAGCCTCAATTCAATTTGGAAAGCATCTGAGATTCTGTTGTCCAAACTGTTGTCCAATTTTCAAACTGCCAAAATTTTGCAAAAAAAAACAAACAGAGGTAGAAAGTTTTCAGGGAGTCGATATTTTTAATGGGGCATAAATTTTTTTTTAATAACTATTAATTTGATCGCAGAAAACAGACTGAATACAAAACCACACCAAGCTTAAATTTTCCATTTTTTTTTTCGAAAGTCGGAACAAAAAAAAAGTTCGACAATTGTAGGCAATTTTAAACCTCATTCGTTGTTTGAACATTAATTTTGAACACTTTTTTTTGACAAGATAACAAATGTTTGTTTTTTTTCGAAATCTTTTTCAATCTAGTCAAAAACAAACAAACAAACAGAAGGATAACAAATGTCTGTGACCCATGCAGAATTGACCCTCGTCGATGATAATATCCCGAATTGTTTATCTGATGCAGAAATCATTTTTGAAATGTATTTAATTGGTTAAACAGCACTTAAACTAACCGTTCGTTCGTTGTCCTGCTGGTCTGGTCGCGATGATGGGATTTTTTTGGTCCCCATATCATAGAGCAGTCTTGCTGTCATTATAGCAACAGCTACTAGCGCTGGAATTCCAAGGATGGTGATGATCTCGACGTAGATCCTGTTAGTCGGTAGACAGAGCGGGACTTGGGGCTGCAGTTGGCCGAAAATGAATCGCGGAATGCCGACAACCCCAAGAAATCCAAAAACACCTGCAACAGAAAAAGTAACGTTTAGTTGTGCGAGGCGTAACAGGGAGAGTAGTTGATTTCTACAAAGGCGGGAATCCAGTTTAATATTAGTCCCTCGCCAATTATAATGGTTTGGGGTGTTTTTTGTGGTCAGTTTTCGACTAATTAACTAAATATTTCGCATGGGATTTTTTCAATGCCTTCTGTTAGATTTGTTGTCTTGAGATAAAAATATATTTACCTGTGATTTTTTTGGGATAACTAACGCTAGATAAATTGGGTTTTTTATAACATGCGCAAGCGGCAAATTAATGCTTTCCAAATTGAATTGAGGCCAGCAATTTAATCTTATCAAAACAAAACAAGATGCTAAACACTCTTTGTATTTAGCATGGGTGATGAAGAAAAAATGAAAAAAAAATTTTCTCTTTTTTCATTTTTTATTAATTATTCAACCAGAAAACATTTGCTTGACCTTAAAGTGCAGTCGGATGATTCAAGGCTTCGCCCTTATATACGACCAGTCTTGTTAGTTAATTAGGAAAGCAATATGATCGCGTGTTATTGTTTCGACTTTCGTAACGAAAGTAACAGAATATTCGTGCTCGGTGTTTTTTTTTGTTCCGACTTTCGTAACGAAAGTAACGGAATATTTGTCCTTGGGTTGGTTTTTTTCTTTAGACAAATTTCGACTTTTTAACTAGCCATTCGTGACAAAAATTTTACGTATCATTCAAAAGGTATTGTTGTCCTGAGCTTAAACTCGAAAAAATATTTAACTTATGCAAGATTAAATTTCCATTTTGGCCAAATTAGGACAATTAACGCGCGATATATTTCGCGCTACTAACGCGAAAGCGGATTTTTAACCCGTTTTAGAAATCGTTCCAAATTGGAAGGAAGCTCATTTACTATAATTGATCTGTTAGCGAAAGATATCACTTTGTACAGTGCTGATTTAAATTATCCGGACAAAACGAATGAGACTTGACATTTAATACGTGTATTTTTCAAATTGGGCTGATTTATAGATAAACAAGACTGCTCGTATATCAGGGCAAAGCCCTGAATGATCCGGCGAACCCTTAATTCATATCGAAAGGTTTTTGGAGAAAATATTGAAAAACTTTATTTTGGACAATGTCAAACTGTAAAATTTTGTGTCGTATGAAATTAATGCGACCAATTACCTAGCCTCAATTCAATTTAAAACAATTTTGTTGAGGGGGATAATTCGTGACGCAAAAATTTTTTGCGTTACGCTCTCAGTATTATGATAAGTCGATAAGTCGAAGAGGTAAAATATCTTTTTTAATATGAACTCAAGAAGTCGATCCGAGCATAAATACTCCATTCTCTTCGAAATTTGGACCAAAAATGATGAAGACCAATCTTGCTTAAAATTTTAACAGAAATAATATGATGCGAAATTCGGACCCAAAAGTTTACCCCAAAACGATCAGTTTTGGCTTTTTTAGTAAGTCGTATTTTTTCATTTACTGACAAAAATATGTCGCTGCAATATTGTTAAGTAGTCAAACAAAATTCGAGAAGGGCGTAATCTCCTAAAAAAAGCGCAAAAGGTTTTTAATAAGTTTTTATTTTAGAAAAAATGGTGTTTTATAAATTAAATCGACATTTTTTGGCCAACAAACAAAAATAAATATATAATGCTGGGAAAATTGGTCTACTTAAGAGGCTTGCAGTGATATAATTTCGTCAGTTAATGAACGAATACGTTTGGAGTAATTTTTGATTGACTGAAAAGCCCAAAAAAAGGATAGTTTTTTGGGTAAAATTTCGGGTCCAAACTTAGCAAAACAAATTGCACCTTATTAATGCTGTTAAAATTTGAGGCAAGATTGGTCTTCATCCTTTTTTGTCTAAAATTGACCCAAATGGAGAAAAACGAATCTTAAGCTTCAAGTTTTATTCGTTTTGTCCGGATAATCTAGATCAGCAATGTACTTTATATGGCGTGTGGGGGATAATTTTCACAAAAAAAAATCTCATATATTATGATTTTTTTCTTCATTTCATTACATTTATTTTTTTCATGTTATTATTGCTCCATATACTATAAAAGGCAGTCGGAACATTCAGGGCTTCGCCCTGATACGAGCAGTCTTGTTCAAGTTGCTGTTTATTTTATGCATAATTTTGCTATTTCCAATTCATTTCAAGCAACCATGTTTTATGATGACTGGGGCCTAAGATATGGCACCGAAGAAACTAAATGAACTTGTCACATGTTATTGGTATCCAAGCGGCTTTCGTGGTGCAGTAGAGTTTGTATGCGAAGCCATACTCGAATGCGATCAATCGGTCAGCAGCTACCAGAATCATCAGCCAATCAGGAACGAGTAGAAGGAGATAGGAGAGGTAGAGAAACACTTTGCATCCTATCTGAGAGAGAAACATGAAGCACATATCTCCTCCTAAATTGATAAAACAGTGTTTGTATTTAATTCTTGGTGCACAAATTTGTAGATTATTGCGTTTGACACTATAAAGGCACAAGGAATGCACGAAGGGATCAAATGGGCAACAAAACTATTCGCATCATGGCAAAATTTTACATGTTACGACTAACAGACTGCCCGGATCAAGTTAATATCCTCCCTCCCTCCCTCCCCCCAAATAGACCAAGTTAAGATCCTTCACCCCAACGCTTAATTTAAATTAAATTTGCTAAGCGCTGCATGTAAAATGCTCGGTTCTGATTGGCTGAAAAGCTAAAAAATCCCAACTTAGAACCAAGTTAACATCCTCCCCTCCAAACGGTTTTTTTTTGGGGGGGGGGGGAGGAGGTTAGCTTGGTCCGATTTTTCCTTATTTACCTTGAGTATAGCTGGTTGACAACCCCAAGCGAAGCAACAGTTATACAATAATTTATCATTTACCGTAAAAAATTTAAAGCCTTATGACATGGCGCAATCACAAGACCAAAAAAATCTGGCATAAGCACGCGGCAGAGCCATCAGCCGAATGGTCAAAGTGATTTTTAAAACTACAAATGGCGATAGTAGCCTCAAAAAACATTGACAACACATTTGCTAATAGGAATCATGTGCATGGATTGAAGCAGTAATGTTTCCGAAAATATTTACTAGTACAGTTCTTTTGTTGACTAATATCGACCATCAGCACAAAATTATTCATGAATTTTTAGCTGTTTTCTTATGCCGGACCAAGTAATTTTTTCAGTTCTGTTACATGTCTTTTTTCGGCATTATAAAGAGTAGGTCAAGTTCATCAACTTTCCAAAGAACTAGTTTCAGTCGGTAAATGAACTTTTTATATTGTTTGCGAGGTTGCTTGCACGGCGAGAACACTTCTTAAAGTAGTAATGATCTACTGGCTAATTTACGCTTTCAGAAAAAAATTTCTCAAATTATGGCCCAGTGAAGCCGCTTCAAATAGTTTCAACCTTTGGTCAAAATTTGAACCCTGTATCTTAAATAGTTGCAGAGAAAACCATCAAACCGTGAATAGTAAACTGGTTCAGGACTTAATATTGATAGTGGTTGAATATAAGAACGGCAGAAATGTGCAAAACTTTCGAATTGTCACTGACCGCTGCCGAATTTGAACAAACTTTACATTTCAAAAGTTTCGTTATAAAAGACGCAAACTATTGCTTTATTTATTTCATTTTAGTTGAACGTCAATTGCTTCTTTATATAAATTGACTTTCGGCTAACTTTGTTTTCGGTCTTTCGCTCACGAGTTTTTTCGCCCATTTGGTCCTTCGCGCATGAGATTAGCCCCTTACATTTGTGCAGTATGAAAGTTTCACATATCAGCTGTCAGCCTATGGAAAATCAGATTCACACGTCAATTCAGTCAGAAATGACGGTGGAATCCCTCATACACCAAGGACCGAATGCGCTGAAATTAAAATTAGCCAATCAGATTTCAGTAATCTAAAATTTGGAAAAAAAACGTGAAAATCTGAAAGAAAGTAAACATTTACTGGGACTTAATATTGATAGTGGTCGAACATAAGAACGGCAGAAATGCGCAATATTTTCGAATTGTCACTGACAGCTGCCGAATGGAAACAAATTTTACATTTCAAGGATTTCGTTATAAAAGACGCAAATCATTGCTTTATTTATTTCATTTTAGTTGAACGGCAATTGCTTCTTTTTATAAATTGACTTTCGGCTAATTTTGTTTTTGGTCTTTCGCTCACGAGTTTTTTCGCCCATTTGGTCCTTCGCGCATGAGAATAGCCCCCAGAAACGACAGCCTTTTCAAAAGTGTCTTAGGTTTTGGATCACCCTGTATTTGAAATTCTTCCGTCATATTATAACGTAATTATTACATAATTACGGATGTTTGGCATAGCGGATGTTTGACATATCGGTTGCTTGCCCTAGACCCCTTGCGGAGATCATACTTTCAAATTTTATTGGATAATAAACAAAGACGGTTGATTGAAGGATGTTTTTATCTATGAAAAATCAGGAATAAAACAAGCCGTAACTACATGACTCAGTATCAATTTCAGGATTTATGAGTTGTGATGCCTGTTGATTTTTTTTTACAATAATTTAGAGCAAAGAGTCAGTCTTCGCGCTGGCGTTGATGTATATATTACCTGTTTCTGTTTTTTGTTAGAAATTCACAGAACACTAATCTGTTGTTAAAGCTAGTCTAACTAATCAGGTCTTTCGCACAACATTTCATAGCTTTTTTTGCTTAAACTAGTCAATTAATTTGTCCAGAATGTCGAAGCTAAAGAGCTTTTTTTCTGTGGTAATTTTGATAATGTAATAATATTGCTGAATTTTTGAAGCTTCTTCTAAATTCAAGTAAACTTTGATTGAAGCTCAATTAGTTAATTGAAGCTCAACTTACCAAAGTAACCACACATGGTGAGACAGATGAGTAGAGCTCTTTTCGCCATTTCACTTACAGCTTGAACCACCATGAGTGTCTTGGCGGAGAAGTTTCCCTCTAGGCCACAGCCCATCAACACAACCAGAATCTGCGACAGAAGAGACACCATGGACGATCCAGAGGCCCCTAGCAGCCCTGCAAGAGGTATGCCTATGTGGCCATCTGATCCGAAAGTGAAGTTAGCCACTTCCTCTTCATTTGCGGAAATCACGCTAATCGACATATCGGAAATCGAGAAGCATAGAGTGAACTTTTCCAGCCAAAGATTGATAATACTGGAGCTGGATTTGGTTCAACTCAAGCTTATAAAAGCTGTAACGCAGAGAATCGTTTCCACAGAGCAGTACAAACAATGATGATGAAAGTTACCAACTGAAATATTGGTTTTTCTAGCATAAATTACAATTATAGATGAAAAAATAAATACTGTTTAGAATGGTTGCAGTTTTTTGGTCTGTTTTTAAAACCTTTCCTATGTTAACAAAATTTGCGAGCAGAACCAAAAATAGATGAAATAGATAAAAACTTCAAAATTTGCGAGCAGAATCAAAAATAGATGAAATAGATAAGAACTTCATGATTTTTCCCTTAGAATAAGCCAACTTCCCCTGCAAATCAGCTAACTTCCCCTATGAGATTTCACTGCGAACTTTCCGTACCGATCAGCCAACTTCTCTACAAGTTAGTGATATGTTTGATGTTTTTGGGGTTAAAAACGAACCAAGTGAACGATCACCGGATTAAAGAAACCAGAACATTCAAGTAGTAAAGTGGCATGCAAAAATCTGAACTCTGATTTGCTAAAAAAAAGCTTTCAATCAAGTGAACAATCTCCTCCACCCTATTAGTTTACTTGGTCACAATTTATTGAGAAATATAATTTGCTGCTTTTCATATTCAGACCAATTTCACAAGAAAAAATTGACAGCGAATGGGTATTACTTCGGACATCTTTCGATATACCCAGCAAGTATGCTTGCACTAGCCTAAAGCGCTGCTGTGAAAGCTTTTGAATAATACTTAATAGTTCTAATCCGTAAGTTATTTATGCTAGGCTAAGTATCCGCACTCAAAATTGTTCCAAATTGAATTTGAGGCCAACTAAATGCTCAAACTAATTTTACTTGAATTTTAGCACTTTTTGTTCCGTCTTTCGAAAAAAGTGAGAAATATGTATGCCCAGGGTGGTTTTTGTTTTTTCAGTCAATTTTGTCCGATCGAAATAAAAAAATTTTTAACAAAACTTTTATACCCCATTAAAGATATCGGCTTCCTGAGTTCAAATATGAAAAGATATTTCACCTCCGACTATCTTTTGTTAAGTTATGGGAGTTTGAAAATTGCCAAAATTGCATGTTCTGGACTAATTTATGCGCGCTTTGATGAGCTTTTTTATAATGCTGAGACCGTAACGCGAATTATTTATGCGTAGCGAATTATCCCCCACAACAAAATCGTTCCAAAATTAAATGAGGCTATCTAATTGGTCGTATTTACTTCATACAACTCAAAATTTAACACTTTGATATTGTCCAAAATGTACAGGTTTTCAGTATATTTTTTTCCCAAATCGCAGTAATAGTTATTAACAAAAAAACTTATGCCCCATTGAGAATATCGACTCCTTGAAATCAAATTCAAAAAAATTTTCTACCTGATGGTTTTTTGAAAATAAGTTTGAAAATGGCCATCAAAAGTTTGAATCTCAGAATCTTTCCAAGTTGAATTGAGGCTAGCTAGTCGGTCGTATTAATTTTGTACGACTCATTTTTTCTCTGATCTTTATATTGTCCAAAATTTATAAATATTTCAATATTTTTTCCCAACAAAACGTTTGGATAATTATCAAGGGGCAATCGGAGCATTCAAGGCTTTGCCCTGATTTCCGAGCAGTCTTGTTACTTCCATGAGTGGTTTTTGATTGCTCTGCCGTAATACATATAAACAAGCATACTCGCAGGGCAATCCCAAGATTTCAGGATCGAAGCCCATACGCAACAATTTTTTAAATATCGGTCTGAATAAAAAAAACACCGCAAGCATATATATTCCTACATTTCTTCAAAAAGTGCAGCAATAAACTTTTTTACTGACATTTGATTACCATTTTTAGGCAATTGCGTCTTGTAAAAACTTGCTACAGTGAAATTGCAGTAATTCGGGAATAAAACAATGCTGAGCAGATAATAAATTAGCAGTAGTTATGGATGAATCAGAGATATGCAGGTTTTTTGTAGTGTAGTTGCAGCCCTAAATCAGCGCTGATCCAGCGCTCATCCAGCCATCAAATTTCAAGACGTGAAGGGGACCTGGTGGGACGTATGGGGGAGGGGCTTGAGGAGGGGGATTATTACATATTGGCGGCCCCTGAATGAACGTGTGCATTCGAGTTTTGCAGAAAGTTGCAAAAATTAGAGTCATGATTTACACAAAATATGATCAATTTCAAGGAATTTTTTGTTAAAAAAATATTCCATTACATTGAAAACAAAAATAGATTTTGATCAATTATAATAGATTTTAATGGATGTCTTATTTTCAAAAATAATCGATCAAATTGGATTAAAAATCCATTACGTTGTCTAAATTTGCCATGATAATTGATTATATAGACAACATTTTACTCAAGAAAAATGCCTTATAATCGATTATTATCCATAAAACTTCGGTGCGGGTACGACTTCAAATTTTACACTTTAATATTGTCCAATTAGTTTTTCAATATTCTCTTTTCCAAAAAACTATTCGATATGATTTAATGGACAACCGGAACATTCAGGGCTTTGCCCTGGTTAACGAGCAATCTTTTTTATTATTAAATCTGTTTTCGACTTCCTAATTAAACGTTTTTGATGAAATATTTTTATACCATCTGAAAGATATTGTAGTCTTGTGCTCAACCATAAAAAACATTTACTATTTTTTGTAAGATTACGGGGGTTTGAAAGTTGCTAGATTGGCCAATTTTTGACAATTAGCGCGCGTTATATTGCGTTTTTGTAAGCGGTAGACATTGGTTCCAGATTGAACGGAGGCCAGCAATTTAATCCTATTAACACAATAAAAGAGACTAAATTTACCATCAGTACTTTATATAGCGTGTGGAGAGATAAAATTAAGAAACACAGAAATACAATTTTTTTCTTTCTCAATTATTTTGCCAAATATTCAATCAAAAACTTTTTAATTGACCTTAAGGGCAGTCGGAACATTCAAGGCTTTGCCTTGCCATAGGAACAGTCTTGTTCTTTCCACTTTTGAAGGAAAATGAATAAATACGCTCTGTGTGGTTTTTTATTCAGTCAACTTTTACCGGTCGAAATAAAAATTTTCAACAAATATTTCAACTCTTTTTTGTAAAAACATGGGGGCTTCAGAATTGCAAAAAATGCCATGTTCTGGATTTGAAGAGTTTTTTCATAATGTTGGAGCGTAACGCGAATTATTTATGCCTGGCGAATTATCCCGCACAACAAAATTGTTCCAAACTGATTTGAGGCTAGCTAATTGGTCGTATTAATTTCTTATGACTCAAAACTTTACACATTGATATTGTCCAAAATGTATAGGTTGTCAATATTTTCTATTCCTAAAATTTTTTCGATATAAATCAAGGGACAGTTGGAACTTTCTTGCCCTGATATACGAGCAGTCTTGTTTTTGTTCAGACTGATTTTAGAAAAGTTGACTGCGTATGGGCATCAATCTTCGGACTAACAAACGAGTATGCTTGCAGAAGACTAAACTGCGGATTTGCAGCTGAATTAATACTTTGACATTGTGTTAAATACGCGAATATTTTATGCGTGACAAATTATCCGCACTCATAATTGCTCCAAATTGAATTAATTCACGCTATAATTGGTCTTATTAATTCCATAAACAACTCAAATTCCATGAACAACTCAAAACAATACTCAAAAAGATCCAAAAAATTGATAAAGTTTTGAAAAAATTGAGAAACAAATTAATTTTTTTAACTTTTTTTGTAAATTACCTTCTACACGCTATGTAAATTACAAAGTTATATAATTTGCCTAAGCCAAACTGTGAAAACGCACGACTAAATAGCATGCCTCAATTCCATTTGCAGCGATTGTTAAGACGGATCAAGTCTCCGCTGACATGTTAAGAGCACGAAATGTATCGCAAGTTAATTGTCCCAAATTGGCCAAACTCGCAGTCTGTAAAAACCCATAACTTTGATTAAAATTGATCAGAGATGAAGTATGTCTTTTAACTTTCAGCTCAAGACAATATTATTTTTGAATGATATCAAATATTCGTCAAAAATTGCTCCGAACACACATTCCTTCGTTTTCTTCGGATGTCGCAACAAAAATTAACAATCTTACGCGCCTTTCACAACAATTTGATATTTATAAAAATGTACGAGATGAATCAAATAACAACATCTTGAAAAAAGTGGAAGCAATTAAAATTAGAAACTTCGGAACTTTAGTTTATACAAATGAAGAACTACAAAATCACCATCAAAGCAAAATATGTTTTCAGCTGCAGCAAAACTAGATAGAATAAAGGAACAAACAGTGAGTGCAATGGCTAAATTTTACTTGAAATTGTTATAATGGTTCAAAAATTGATGCATACGTATTACCGAAAACTCAGACATAAGGCAATTGAAACAAATTTTTAAAGTGTTTTTTTTTCTTACTTCCAACGCTTTCGAAGGCAAACAAATACAAAGCTTAAGAAAAATATAAATTAATAGTTCCCTTAACAGAAAATTTGCCAGTTATATAGAATTATACTTCGTTCAAATTCATATGTACTGCTTAACATTTTTGGGACTTTTGAGGTTTTGGCAGTTTTATTCATCTCCAGCTCTTTTTTCTCGCATTCTTGAATAAGAAAAAATTTGTGTTTTTTCTCAAGTTTAAAAATTAGTGGTCCAAGTCTATGATAATCAAAATTGGCATTATTTTCTTTGGCTCAAATTAATACTTTTTTTCATCAAAGACCCTTCAATAAAAATTATCCCAGAAATCCAATAAGCAAAAATATCAGCATTTCATAGAAAAAAATGAAGCATGCGAAAGTTCACTTTTCTTGAAAAAAAAATTGTAAAGCGTTTCTTTTCCTTACACGCTCATATATTTAGTTTGTATATCTAAAGAAATTTTTTTAGTTTACAAAAAATGGCAAAAATCAAGTTATAAAATACTCACACTTCCAGCGCAACTAGCATTTCCAGCGGAAAATAATAAACAAAAAACGTGTGTAAGTAATATTTAAAAAAGCAACCAAAACGTGTGTATTGAATTACGTTGAAACAAACTACTCGAAATAGATTTCTACGTCGTTAATATTTGTCTCAGATTAATGAACCTTTAACATAAGTAACGAACATC